TATATGGTTCATATGCATTTTTAGCCGCAAAATCTCATAATTGATTGGACTATGCATTAAATGCAATAAAACGTGAAGTTCTGCATTTAGACTTCACGAGATAGCATCACATAGCACTATATTCATATGTAATATGAGATATGTTAAACCATACGAACGTACTAACTTGTATCTTTATTCTATGCTTACCGTTACGAAAAACCGTAGATCAGAGTTAGGAAAGGCCATTTTTTTTAATTCACTCTAACAGTGTGACAATTAAATTGAAAAAAGATGACTTTCTATTCCTTATTTTCTCGTTAATGCCGATTAGTAGACAAATATAATGATTAATTAACAACGAAACACTTACGATTGGTTATTCACGTCTCATTTTTACGGTCGCAAAAAGATCTAATCACATCATGCATTCTATAAATCGATAATTGCCGATCCAATTTCGATGATTCTACGCTCAAACGAATGCTGCAAACTGTAATATCTAATTTAAAAGATGGCACAAAACGGATTAGTCGTTCATGAAATATGGCCATTAAACGATACCAAAGATTAAAATTAGAGTTGAAATATGCAATTACTTTGTCAAAATATTACTGATATTTCATGAACGGCTGATCCGTTTTCAATGATTTGTGTTTTATCATAAATGAATGCTAAGAACGTTAGCATTCGTTTTAAGTCCAAAATTCTCAAAAACGACTATCAGAGCATCACTGATTGATCATCCACTATATTTTGTGTAAGCCTGATCCCTGTTTGATGATTTTGAACTAAATGTGTTGCATATTATTTTTCCTAGAGTTCCAATCCATTAACCGTTTATCCATATATATGCAATCCGTTATCCAAGTATCCGGTCTGAATTTATCCGGATATTGATATCCGAATAATTTATCCGAATATTTGTCGGATTATCCGGATATCATTATTAAACGGATTTATCCGGATTGGAACTATAATTTTTCCGGATCCTTTTTGCGTTCACTGTATTCTCCCATTTTCGATGATATAAGGAAAAATACGGAAAAAATTTGTTGCATATTATTTTTCCGGATCCTTTTTGCGGTCGCTGTATTTCTCCTCCCATTTTCGATAATATTAGGAAAATACGGAAAAATATATTTCTCCCATTTTCGATGATATAAGGAAAATACGGAAAAAATTCTTTACCGAGTTTTGCGGGGAGATATTCTCTGGGATAGATATTCTGGAGTATAAGATATTCCATATTCTTCTGCTTAAATTGCATCCTGCCACAAAGTACTCTAAAGTTTGTAATGTCCCCGGCAGTGTGGGCATTCTCCATTCTCAGTGACTATATCCCGGGGCAAAACCTTGTGTGTTATTCGTCAATAAATATCTCTTTTCTTATTTTTTGCCCATCTCATACCGAGCCACTCCCAGGGGTTATTCGATGTGGAGAGATCAATGTTTGTTTCAGAAATTTTCCCTTCAGAAATTCCGTGGCTTTTTAACCGAGCATTCTTCGCCCTTTATTTGTGCTGTGTTTATTTCTGCGGGAGGCCATGACCACCTTTCTATAAACTTTATTAATAATAAGTAACTTTTTTAACAAAGATCCTTTACTGTATAGCCGGTATATGGGTAATTCTTTTTGAACTCGGACCAATTTTATATATATATAACATAATAACATTTTGGTCTGAATTCAAAATAATTACCCATATTTTAAGTACTTGCCTTAAACTCGAATATTTTAATTAGTGATATAATAATTCTGAATGTTTATATGGTTTATACCTAAAATATAGTACTGTAATTAATTATTAAAAAGAATTAGAAACATTTTTAAAAAATCGCAATATAAAATATTTCGATTATTCACAATCCAGAAATCAGACACGGGGATTCTCTATATTGTATTCGGTCATCTTCAAAGGAAAAAATACGCAATAAAAAGTCTAAATAATCTGAGTTTGACTATAAAACATTCAAAAAACTTAGAAATAAAGTGTATTATTCATATAATTATTTGAAATTTTATTGCTCATATTTATTTAATTACATATATGTGTAGCTTGAACTTCATTATCATAAATTTCTATGAAATTTCTAGAGGTATAAATTTACAGTAGTGTACATGATGTAACTTGAAGATATTATTTCTAATTATAATTTTTGGACTTTAGATGCCCGAACGGGTAATTTTGCGTTGGTATTACAATTTGCCATTGGTGGTAACTTGTGTCAATATTTAAGAGAAGATGAAGGAAGGCATTTGTAAAATATTATGGGCTGAGCTCATCAGGATTTCAATAAAAATTACACTTATATAACCTAGGTATAATTCACAGATTTTGGCTTATCAAAATAATCAGATAGTTCCTCTTCTTCAAGTTCTAGTGTGGAAGGCATAGCAGTGTATGTTAAACGGGTCCGTATTATTTCACCGACAATCACTTCACCGACAGCTCATTTAGCCGACATCACGCCAGGTGAAATTTAGTAAAAATATATACCTGCAACTAATCAATTGCTTAACCCTAACCCTATGTGATGTCGGCTAAATGAACGTTCGGTGAAATGATTGTCGGTGAATTGATCGGAACCCATGTTAAACCATAGCGTTATCTCCAAAGCAATGCTAAACGTGACAAAAAATCCCATATCTACAATAATAACTTGAGCGTACTGCTTTGGGAACTTACGAGCGGAATCCCTCCATTTAATTAATTTGATATTTTTGTAATATTACTTAAAATTTCAAATCATGAGATCTCAAAAGAAAAAACTGTAGGATTCATTGCGAATGCGGTTGACGATGCGATGATAAAAAAGGTGCACAATTAATACTTGGACCTCCAATATATTCAAGGAACTTGGTTCATTCGAATAATAGCAACACAACTCCCTGAAAACATTCCTATGCTACAAGTGACTCTTGTTATAGTAAAGTGATCAGACTGTAAGATTTTCTTTATTATATCGAGAGTCTATTAGTAAATTCACTATATCAAGAGGATTTTTATATAAACTGTTCTTCACTATAATAAGAGGTTCACTGTAACGAGTGTTACTTGTATCTAAAAATGCAAATAAGTTAACGCATAATGGCCGACTAAGTATACCTTTCGAAAACATTGGTACACTATCTCAACATACAAATGCACCTGAAGAATGGATATCAATGATGTGTATCTTAATTATCTTGAATAATGGATTTACAGATCCTACATTTATTGGAGATTGTTACAAATACGAGTTACTCTTAAATCTTTTAAATTTGATGCTGATATAAGTATAAATGAAAAAGATTAAAGATTTTATTAATGAGGTATTATATTTAAAATCTTGTCCATTTAAATTAATAAATTAAATATTAAATTCCTTTAGTTTATGTAATAAAAGCTTAAACTCTTAAAAAGAGTTTCTTGCCATCCAAACATTATTGCATTCTATGGAATCACGAAAGGTATGTATACTGATTATAATTCCTGGGCATTAAATGATTGTATTAAGTAAAAATATTACAAAACTTTATGGAATTTTTTATTTATTAATTCACTAATATTCTAATGCTCTAGCATTCGAAGAATATTTTAATTCATCAAGAACAACCAAAAATCACAGATTTTGAGCTTAAAGAAATGTCTATGGCATCCAACTCAATGGTTCATGGAATGCCGGCATATAGAGATCCTCAATGTTTTGCAAATGACAAATATTAACGTGATAAAAAAATCTGACGTACATAGCTTTGGAGTAATTCTTTGGGAAATTTCATGTGAAAAACCACCATTTCAATCTTCGAATCAATGTATCCAATTATGCTTCATATCTTCAAAGGAAATAGAGAAGAACCTGAGAATGCATACCACCTCAATGCATTGAACTTTACAAACGATTTTGAGACTATGGTCCTGCTAGGCGTTCAGAAACAAAATTAATTCACAGTATTTTATAGATAAAACAATTTAACGAAACTTCAAATCAACACTATTATATTGAAAGATCAATTCAAAATAGTAAACTTCATCAAAATACCAATGTAGTTATGAATTCACTTGAAGTTACGATTTCGTCTCCACTTTATACATAAATTCGAATGTTTCAATGCAAGACAGTAATATTCTTGAGAATATGAAAAAAGAAGCATGTGAATGTTTGATGAGAAAAAATTTCTCAAAACATTAGAACTTTATGAAGAAATTCTCAAAAACAGCCAGCATAGTGATAAAGATCTAGAAAGTACTTCAAAATGAGATCTTTCTCGTAAATGTGGTTCTAAAAAAAATAAATAAATTGAAAAAGGTACTTTCAAAACCGTCATTCTTCTTTGAATCTTTATAATACCAGGCTCTGATGAAAAGAAGAAAAAATATTAGCAGAGGCACTTTGCATAAACACAACTTTAGCTTCTTTGAATCTTAATGATAACGAGCTCGAACCAGAAAGAGGAAAGTATTAGCAGGTGCACTTTGTAAGAACACCACACCAGCTTCTTTGATTCTTAGTAAAAAAATTAACTTGCATCAGAGGGAGGAAAACATTAGCAGATGACTTTGCAAGAACACCAAGCTTACCTTTTTGGATCTTGGAGCAAACGAACTTGGGTCAGGAGGAAGAATTTGCATTAGCAGATGCATTTTGCAAGAACATTCAACTTGGCTCAAAGGGAGGAAGAGCATTAGCAGATACACTTGGAAAGAACAATAATTAACTTTTTTGAATCTTAGGGAGAATGACCTTGGAAAAGTATTGGCAAATTCACTTTTTAGAAATATAACTCTACCTTTTGTCAATCTTTCAAATAATAACTTTGATTTTATACAAAAGAAATCCTTCAAAATGCTTATAATAAAAATATAACTTTAATATTCCAATAGCAAAACTCTTTATTGACTTGTTAATTTTTTTATATATTTATATTTTGGATTTTGTATTTATTTATTACACAATACATTTTTGAGTTAGACTATTTAATAGCTACTCTAAATGTATTTTTTAAAATAAATAAAAATTAAATACCGTAAATATAAAAATAAAAAAAATGAAAATGAAATAAAGAAATACAGTTTCCAATAAAAATTTACTAAGCATTAGAGATGTTAACAGTCTGGTTTGATCCAATTTGATCTATTTTGGTTCGGTCTTTGATGATTTATAATTTATTTTTAAGATTTCAGTAATTTAGACATGTCTAAACCGGTTCAGTTGGTCTGGTCTTAAGACAATAATCCCCGATCACTATATCAAGATCACGGAAGGATTAATTAATAATACCCTGATCGTATGTGAATAAGCGGAAACGAAGTTTCCGCTAATTCCCAACGGATCAGGATATTATTATTACGAGTAGACTAAATTTTTTCAGTTTCAAACTGGTCTTTTAAGACAACCATAGTCTCTGTTTGGACCAGACTGCCTGGCATTTCTACTAAACATCCTATTTTTAAAATGAATTTAATACTTGATATTTGAATAACAAATAAAAAATACTTAACACTTTGATTCCTTAAATTTTTAATCTAAATTTTAACTTCAATTCTAAAGTTTAGCTTAAATTTTTATAAATTTTACAATAATCTAGTAAAGAATGAAAATAATATTTAAACTTTACTCAAATTATTATTATTTTATTATGGTGCTATAAGCCTATACTCGACATGTTTTAATTTTTAAATCACTATAACTTTTTATATAAAAGGTTTTCAAAACCCTGACCGGTAACTTCGTAGAGCAATATTAGTTCTATAAATTTGCTAAATATTTTTTTTTGAAAGGTCTTCTGTATAAAAAGTTGATGTGTTTTAAAAATTACTATTGTTTTATATATAATTAATATATGGATTAATTTTAAATGAACTTTAAAATGCTATAACTTTTTATAAAACAAAAATTTAAAAATCTGACCGGTACCTTTGTTCTT